ACAGTATATTTTAAAATGAAATGGAGATCTTTTTTAAAGATTAAAACGTCATTCAATTTTATGTCTTATAGGGTTTATACTAATATTGTATAACTGTAAATATTAATTCAACTGTGAACCTAGAAACTTACTGCCACTTGTGAAGAGATGTACTCTTGCTCTGGTGTGTGTTACTGAATATGTTAAAGCTGTAATGAAATGCTTCTTCTAATCATGTAGTGATTAAAAATTTAAAAATAAATAATGATTAAGAAAAAAAAAGCAAAGAGAGAAATTCTTCTATGAAGGAATTCTTTTAGTCTGATAAAGAATCACCCTAAATAATTCTAAAACATTCTAGTTAAGCGTAAAATATTGAAAGCTTTCTTTCTGAGACTGGACACAAGACAAGGATACCGACTATGTAACCTACATGTGAGATCCTACACAAAGCAATTAGAGGAAGTAAAGAGAGGAGTAAAATCTGTAAGTACCAGAAACAACACTGTCATTCTCCAATTACACAATCAGCATTCAAAATCTATAAATTATGAGAATTAAAGTGTTAAGTTCAGTAAGGTTGCTACACACAAGATCAACAGTTTAGAAATTAGTTGCATTTCTACATACTAGCAAAAATAGGAAATGAAAGACCATCAAAAATGTCAATAAGAAATAAATCTTAACAAATATCATACAAAACTGTATCCATAAAACTATTAAAAGAAACCGAAATGGAAGAAAGTCTAGTAAGTGGCAGGGGGTAGTTCAACACTCTTGGAACTAGTCAACTCAGTACTGAAAAAGCAGACTTCAAACTGGAGTTAATGACCCACCAGCAGCTCTTCGTGTATGTGTGTGTGTGTGTGTGTGTGTGTACACGCATGCGCGCGCACAGTTATACATGTATAGGTGCGCATGCACGTGTGCATGTGTAATGGCGGCCAGAGGACAACCTCAGGTGTCACTCCTCAGTGGCCATCTGCCTTGGATTTTTGTTTGTTTTTGAGGTACAGTCTCACCAGCACTGGAACTCACTAAGTAGGCTAGACTGCCTGGCCAACAAGCCCAAGGAATCTGCCAGTCTCTGCTTCTCCAACACCACACACCACTAGGCCCAGTTTTTTTTTTTACTTTCTCTTTCTTTCTTTTTCTTTCCTTCTTTCTTTCTTTCTTTCTTTCTTTCTTTCTTTCCTTCCTTCCTTCTCTCTCTCTCTCTCTCTCTCTCTCTCTCTCTCTCTCTCTCTCTCTTTCTCTTTCTTTCTGCATCAATTCTGAGGATGCAACTCAGATCCCCTTGTAGGCATTTCACAGATTGTGCCATTTCCTAATTCCCATCACTGCCTTTTCTTTCTGCAGTGGAAAAGTGGCTCCTATCTGACCACCTCTCATGTTTGACTACAATGCCTGGACAAAAATTAAATGCATAATTACTGAAAGCATTGAGTGATGACCAAAAGTAAACAAAACCTGAAGAGAGGTCAGCACCTCGAAGACAAAAAACACTGGGTGAATTTCCTACCTGTTTATAACTTTCAGCTTTAAACAAGCCCATAATCACTGCTATGAATGGTGGTGAAAACTATCCACAATCACACTAAAGAGTCAAAAGCTAGTTTCCCAGCAACTTGAAAAGGAGAAATCCAAGGAAGGAGAGCCCTAAATTCTTCAAGTTAAACAAATTACCACTGACATCTAATCAGGAGGAAAAAAATGTGGGGCCCTAGAAAATACCCGTTAGAGGGAGAAAACGTCTTAAGAATGAAAATAAAGATGTACTCAGAACTGAAAGAATTCACATCTAGCAGGTCCTTACTACTGAAGGAGTCTCTCCAGTCCAAAAAACAAGATGCAGACAGAGCAGGATCTTCAGGAGAGAACCAAAACAGTAAATATTTGGGTAATCATTAAGATTTATTTTCTTTCTTAATTTCCTTAAAATGTTGATGGCCAACTGTTCTAAAATGATGGATATATTTGTTTTCTCCCCCTCTCTAGAAGCCTTTGAGAGGGAACTGACACTAATTCTGATCACTCCAACAGCTATCAAAGTGCCTGAAAACAAATCCTGAATCCATCAATCTCAAGTCCAACCTTGGCAGACAAAAGAAAAATGAGGAACCCAATAGAGGGATGTTTTTGGAAGCCCTTGTAAAGAAATTCCAGTGGACTCTCATATGAACATTTGAAACTTGCACTGTTCTGACTTTTTTCTAGTTCCCTGTCTAGAACTTGTAATGCTAATTAAATTACTCTTGCCTTTACTTCTGCTTCGGATCTCCTATTCACCAGTCAAGGACTTTCTTTTCCCCCTACAGATAAGAGTTATGCAATTTGGGAGTCTTTTAGATAGACCCATGGAAGGGGTACTCTAGTTACCTCACCCTGCATCCCTATTCAGCATGGAAGAAGCCAGAGTGATCTGTGTCCCTATTCCCCATTGGCAATTTGGGTAACCCCTTCAGAGGATGGCATGGTAAGAATAGGAGGTAGGAATTGATTGGCTAGGCAGTTAGGGTAAAAAGACCCCAAAGAAAAGGAGCCAGTTTCTTCGCTAAAAGTCAAATCGTCCTTGGGCCTCTTAGCAACATACTCTGTTCAAAAGGCCAAAAATGTCGAAAGTATTTGGGAGCTTGTATCTAATCCTTAAAAGATTTTAGGGTTACCTCTTCAGAGGGGGGATGTTAGAGGGGAGGAAGTGGGCATGGAATTGATCAAAACACCTTATATGTATGTATGAAATTCTCAACAAATTATTAAAAAAAAAAAAAGGAGGAAACAGGGACAAGAAATAATAATATATGGGGCTGGAGAGATGGCTCAGTGGTTAAGAGCACTGCTGTTCTTGCAGAGGACCCAGATTTGGTTCCCAGCATCTACATGGCACCTATCAACCATTCTTAACTCCAGTTCTAGGTAATCTGACATCCTCTTCTGGTCTCTGCAGGCATTGCACACACATGGTGCACTTACATACATAAAGGCAAAACACTCATACACATAAAATTAAAACCATAAAAAATTTTTTAAAAAGTAATTATATGTGAAAAAAAATCTAACAATTTGGTGACTGCTTAACAACAAATATAGTATGGCCATATGGATTTGACTTATCCAGATAATTAGAACGTATTACACAGTAGCATGTAAAAGTGGTTAAAAGGTAGAGTGGTTGCAGAGAATCTCCACATCTCTGTGGAAGAGCATTTCCCCAGCATGCGCAAGGCCTCGGTTCCATTCCCAATATGGGAAACAGCAACAGAAAAAGACTGAATTCATTTTCTTTGAACGCTGTGTCATCATTAAATCTTTATTATAACAAAAATTTAAAAAGGAGGAAGAACGTTTTGTGTGTGATGCTGGGTATGTAGGGATGGAAATCAGGGCCTCCTTCTGCTAGGCAAGTACTGTACTGCTGGCCTGTACTCCTGTGGTGCTGAGTGCTGAAAGTGGGAACTGAACAAGAATATCTGGTCATGATGAACTTTCCTAAGTGCCTTGGTTAATCATGAAAAGAACTGCAAACAATGCAGAATGTCAACATAATGAGGGGAGTACAGAATGATTAAAAAGTTCATTTAAGGCAAGAAAATAGAAGAAAAGTAATACTCTACCATCAATGAGAAAATGTATTTTAAATAAATACATCAATTATTTACATTAAATATAAATGCATCAATATGGTACAAAGATTGTCAGATAGATAGACAGCATGTACAAGTCCTATGAAAGCTCAGACCAGACAAAATCCCAGCATAGTCACAGGAAAGTGGGTAAGAAATCCCAACCTAACCTAAAGAACTTTTGTCAATTGATGGCTGCTGGGAGAGGAAAAGAGTCATACAGGAATGGGACTCTTGGTCAGTCCAGTAGATGGGCCCATACTGAAGGACATTTCACTGAATGACATTTAGAGATACAAATCAGATATGGAGGATAGATAGATGATGATAGATAGATGATAGATAGATAGATAGATAGATAGATAGATAGATAGATGATAGATAGGTAGAGATAGATAGATAGATAGATAGATAGATAGATAGATAGATAGATAGATAGGCATGGTGGTGTATGCCTTTAGGTCCCAGCAGTGGCAGAGGAGATCTCTGTAAGTTCAAGGCCAGCCTGATCTACATAGTGAGTTCCAGGTAAGCTGGGGCTATAGGGAGACCCAAGTGAGGCCCTGAGTTCAACTCCAGCACCAGTCCATGATGAAAAGAGAAACAAAGTTTAACTACAAAGCCAAAAGATAAATTAAATTGCATTCTTAGAAATATTAATCAAAAAGAATGCAGAAAAACTGAACAAAGGAAAAAAAAATACTTGTATGGAAAACTCTAATCAATGATTTCATTAAATAGAAATAAAAGAACCACTCCAGTTAAAAGGCAGAGATGAAGCTGGGCATGGTGGTGCACGCCTTTAATCCCAGCACTTGGGAGGCAGAGGCAGGTGGATCTTTGTGAGTTCAAGGCCAGCCTGGTCTACATAGAGAGTTCCAGGACAGCTGGGGCTACAGGGAGACCCTGTCTCAAAAAGAGCAATAAATACAAAATTAAATAAATAAATAAATGTTTCTAGAAAACATTTAAAATAGAGACACACAAATTAAAAATTAAACAGAAATGCATTAGGCAAACAATAAACATAAGAAGCATGGAGTAACTACAGTATTAACAGAAGTAACGTTGACTTGAAGACAGAAAAAAGACAAGCAAAAAAAGAGACATCTTGTAATGATATAAAGACCAATTCATGAGAAAACGTAATAACCCCAAATGTATATGTATTTAGTACTACAGAGATGTCACCCATATTGATCTTTATGTATTCACAGAAATCATAACACAAGTTCATGTGGGTTGTTCCTTTGAAGAACTGGCAGGTATACAAATACAAGTGTCCAAGAACAGCCACTTGTGCCAATCAGTGAAAGGTGTGATATATTTATGAAACGGTAAGAGAATCTGGGGACTTGACAGCAAACTCTTAAGACAATGAGACTCTTCTCTACTTACCTTTCTGTGCTTTATTAGTAAACTTCCATCAGGCCCAAACACAGCACAGGTGTTATATAATTTCCCAGCATCCTCCTCAGGGATGGAGCCTTCCATTGAGAGAAATACATAATCACACAAAACAATAATAAAAAAGAATAGGGCAAGTATTTTTTGATACTAGATAGAGGCCTGAGAAACAGTCATTTGGATCCAATAATAAAGCTTATTCTAAGCATTCTTTTTTCCCTCTTGAATATATCTTTCAGTGATTAAACTTCAAAGTACTGATGAAATATAATTAGATCAGATGTCAAAAGAAGCAAGTTTGGGGGCTAGAGACATGGCTCAGTGGTTAAGAGCACCAGCTGCTCTTACAGAGGACCTGGATTCAGTTCCCAGCACCCACATGGCAGCTAACAAACATTCATAACTCCAGTTCCAGGGAATCTGATGCCCTCTTCTGATCTCCGAGGGTTCTGCATGACACAGGTACACTTATATACATGCAAGCAATATACTCATACACATAAAATGAATTTTTCTTTTAATTTAAAAAAAAATTTAAGTTTTTTTAAAAAAGACCAAGTTTAAGCCAGGCGTGATGGCACATGCCTTTAGCCCCAGAACTCGGGAGGCAGAGGCAGGTGGATCTCTGTGAGTCCGAGGCCACCCTGGTCTACATAGCGAGTTCCAGGCCAGCTGGGACTACAGGGAGACCCTGTCTCAGAAAGACCAAAAAATTAAAAATTAAAAAAATTAAAAATAAAAAGAGTCAAGTTTAAAAAAAGACCAAACTGTTCCTGAAATTCGGCCATGATCTGAACAGTTAGTATGTAACATTAAAGCAAAATTGCTCACCTTGAATTCATTAGGTCCTAGTGCAATACTGAATCCCAAAGGCCTCATGATGGGAATAAGACACAGGCCTCTCTCAGTGAGCCAAGTCTACCTATGCACTTCTTGCTTTGGTACCTCCTGTTAACTTATAACCTTTAATTATGATAATCATGATACAGAGATAATCTTGTTTGCTATGTTTATTGAACCCCAGAGGTTTGTTTGGCTTCTTTTATACATTACCATATTGAACACAGGGAGGATTTCTCTCTCCACATTTCTACAGGGCCCATTACACCCACTCCTTTTACAGGGAAAATCATCAGTGTTGAGTGTGGTGTATGCACTAGGCCTTTACACATAATTACATATGGAAGTATACAGTCTTCTTTTATGTTGGGGGGAGATAATTAATCTAAATGGGGAAACTGCTCATAATCATGCTGAACTTGCTTTCTTGACACTTAACAGTACATTTTTAAGCTTTCCACATTCCTGGATATAAATCTAACTCATTAACTCATTTTTTTCTGTTTGAGGCTTTTGAGACAGGATCTCTCTGTATACCCCAGACTGACCTCGAATTCACAATCATCCTGCCTCAGCTTTCCAAGTGCTGAGATTACAGGAATACACAACCATCCTTGGCAATTCACTCTTTTCAACTGAATAGTGTTCCATAGTTTAAATGCAAAAAAGTCATTCTAATGTTTTTAACATTCAGGACGGTACACTACTGGAAGGCATTACCTCCAATGAGATATATGCTGCACTCCTTTGCTACTTCAGAAAGCTTCTGTGTGGTTTCACCAGGAATTTTCTCTGCATATTCAGGGAAATACTTTGTGCCATAAGGAGAATTAAAGCATTCCTAGAATAATGAAATGAGAAAACTCCACACAATCCATTTTAAAGTTCTGCAGAAAGACAACAGATGCTGCTTCCAACTCTGCTCTCTGGAGTGGGTAAAACACCAAGAAAAAGCCTAAAGCTAAAGAGCCTGCACTCGAAGGCAGACTATTCAAGTCCCCCGCAGGCAAGGCTAAAGGAATCAAGGCATGTAAACATTACCAGATCCTGGTAAGACTAGCAGAAGGCTAGACCTTGAGTTGGCAGAAGGCTAGAACTTGAGTCTGCAGAACAACAAGTTTCTGGCCTTGGCTATCCAGGCCCCACCACAAATTAGGTTTTTTAATGACTTTGGACTCTGAGATGAATTCTGGAGTTCAAAATTACACTACTAATTATACAAAGCAATAAAACCTAATGTATTGAGGAAAGTTCTGAGAGGTAAAGACATTTGCTCATTTGTAAACAAGCTCTAAATCCCCTTTGGCACTATCTTTCTGATCCTATGTAGTCTATCATGGAGAAGGAAAGTCTTTTTCTCTCTCTCTGCCTCTCTCTCTCTCTCTCTCTCACACACACACACACACACACACACACCATAAGTCTGTCTTAAACAGTCATTTTGACGTATCAGAAAACAGGCAAAAAAATTACTGTATTTCTTGCATGCACATGGTACACTTATATACATTCAAGCAAAACCCTCATATACATAAAAATAATAATAAAATATTTTAAAAAGGGTGGGTTGGAGAGATGGTTCAGCAGTTAAGAACACCTGCTGTTCTTCCAGAGACCCAGGTTCAATTCCCAAAACCCACACAGTAGCTAACAACTCTATAATTCCAGTTTCAGGAGATCCAAAACCCTCTTCTGGCTTCTACAGGCATTGCATGCACATGGGTCACTTACATACATGCAAGCAAAACACTCATACACATAAAAAAATAAAAATAAAATATTTTTAATTACTAAATTTCAACCCAAATTCATGCATTTTTTTCATTTAATGATACTGTCTATGTATCAGGCACTACACTAGAAATAGCCAGCTTGTACACACTGAATGTCAGAGTAGGTGAAGTAAGCATGCACGGAATTCTAGAATCTTCAATTCTAGGCTTTTACTTACTCTCAATAACAGAAACCAACAAAACTAGGATTAGGCAGCCAGTACAGGTAAGTACTATAATTAGTGCCATAAAGAACTCTGGATTGGGCTAGGGAGATAGCTTGCTGCACAAGCATGAGGACATGAGTTCAAGCCCCAGTATCCACTTAAAGAGCCAGGCATGCTGATGTGCACTTAGAATCCCAGCACTCAGGAGGTAAAGAGTGGTGGATTCCTGGGGCTCTCTTCTAAGCCCAGGTCCTGGTGAGAGTCTTGTCTTAAAAAAACAAGTTGAAGGGCTCCTGTGGAATGATACCCAAGACTGACCTCTGGCCTACACACACATACAAAGTCTGGATTAACAGTAACATCTCTCAGTCTCCCTTGGTAAAGATTCCCACTCATCCAGGGACTCTCTGGGGCTGAGCCTGTACTTGCTAACCATCAGATACGATACAACCTTCTACCGGAAGCCATAGCTTCCTACAGGTCTGAAGACAATTTTTCAGTAATTTTTCAAAAGCATTGAAGACAGAATGAGCATAGTAGCACACTCCTTTAATCCCTGCACTAGGGAGGCAGAGGCAGGTGGATCTCTGTGAGATGAAGGCCTGGTCTACATAGTGAGTTCCAGACCAGATGGGGCAACAGGGAGACCCTGTCTCAAGAGGAAAAAAAAAAAAAAGAGTTGAAGACAGTGCTAAAACATGGTCAGGTCTTTAAAATGAAAAAAAAAAAAAAAAAAGAGGGGGGTTAACTACGTAAGAAACAAGGTAAGCATAGAAGCCCTGAGCATTTTAAGCTTTCGAGATTTTGTATTCCTCATCTCAACAGAGTAGGTGATCCAATAGTTTAAAGACCTTTAAGTACCTTAAACAGTTTACGATAATGAACCTTGCCAGTCTGTGACAAAGATAAGACAAACATGGAACAAAACTAAGGTTCCAAAAGGCAGTGCAAGAGCTGGGGCATAATGGACCAAGGAGAGCAAGCACTACTGAGCTAGGTCCACAGCTCCTACAAAGGGCCTGCTGCTCCCATACTTACCGGCAGAGCAACTACTCTGGCACCTTCCTTTGCAGCCTCCCGGATAAGGCTACAAGCTCGAATAACGTTATCTGATTTGATGGAAGAAACTTGAAGCTGGATGAGGGCCAAGCGGAAAGCTGAGGACAAATCAAAGGAAAACTGTCATCAGATCGGCCACTGAATTCAGAAAGAACCAAGGTTCTCAGAGGGCATCTCACATGTTTGGAGTTTATTTACAATGATAAAACATAGCCTCTCTGACCAAGGCCAAGATTAACGCTAAAAGTATGAAAACTAGGATTGTCTCATTCTTTGATTTATCCTAAATACAGAGAAAAACTAACTTTAGCCCTGAAAACCCCTTTGTTAAATAGTTTCAGAATCCGGATGAAAACAAAGGAAGCCAAAACAGGAAGAAAAACCTGGCATTCCTTTGGGACGAACATACCTTGAGCTGACACCAGAACATCACACCAATTCTCTACAGGGCTACCAGAGCTACAGCGGGAGGGAAAGATAAGGCTTCCTTCCGCTCTCCCCTCCACTCAAGTTGCCAGTTCCGCCCAGGTTTGAGGTTGCTTGAAAGCCTGCCCTTCAGGTTGAAGAAGAAAAACACCTCTAGTAGAGGACTTGCTTCATCGGCTCAGTAATGACAATGGCCTCTAAGCCCTGGCTGCCCCTAATATCCATTACAATCTGACAATGAAGAAAGATGAACCAAGGGAAAAATAAGGTAAAACCTCGCAAGGGAAGGGACCAAGGCAGTAACTTTTAAAAGACTATGCCAGGTCTATCAACAGCGATGAGGTAACCACCGAGCAGAGGCAAGAGACTTGCAGGGGGAAGGCCGCACCAACTCTGGACAAAGTGGCATGGCCACCATCAGGCCAAACTCTGGAACTGTAAAGTGAGATGGAAAGACCCGCCCTTTGTGGCGGAGGGCGTTAAGGCTGCAAATTTGAAAACACCGGCGAACCCACACCACCCGGGCCCGCAAGGGGGTAGGTCTCTACAGTGTAGACGCGGGGCATCGAGGGCGAGCAGAGGCCTGTAATCCCAGGCCCCGCAGAAGCCTGCTCTCCCCGAGCCGCCCCGCCACCCACCGTCCCCGCACAGTAAAGCAGTGCCGAGCTGGCGAATGGCCCCACACCGAGGCCTCTGCTCCCGCCAGTGCCGGCACTTACTAGCCATGGTTCTTCCCGTGAGCAACATCGGCCGGTAGGAGCGAGGATCCAGGCGCTCAACTAGTTAACCTACAGGCTCAGCGTGCAGGGGGCGGAGCCAAGCCGCTCGCAGACGGGGGCGGGACCAAGACCAGAGCTGGGGATCCGCCCATGCTCCGCTCCAGGCTGGAGCCTGCCGGGTCCTAGGCTTGTCTTCCCGCTTCCTCACCACCCAGCTCTTCTTTGTAATAGGTTTTTTTCATTTGGTTTGGCTTCCTGTGTTGTCTTGTGTTTTGCTGCGTTTGATTGTGGGTTTTTTGTACTGTTGTGTTTTGCTTTTTTATAACTTTTATATATATATATATATTTTGTTTGTTTTTGTTTTTTTGAGACAGGGTCTCCCTGTAGCCCCAGCTGGCCTGGGGCTATGTAGACTAGGCTGGCCTTGAACTCACAGATATCCGCCTGCCTCTGCCTCCTGAGTGCTGGGATTAAAGGTGTGCACCACCACACCTGGCGACTTGACTATTTTTTAAATTTATTTTATGTATATGTATTTTGTCTGCGTGGATATAAATACACCCGTGTTGTGCAATGCCAGTGGAGGCCACTAGAGGGCGTCCGATACTCTGGAACTAGAGTTACAGTGGCTTGTTGGCTGCCATGTGGGTGTGGGTAACAGACGCCAGCTAGCTTAGAACTCGCTTTGTAGACCAGGCTGGCCTTGAACTCACAGAGATCTGCCTGCCTCTACCTCCCAAGTACTGGGATTAAAGGCGTGCATCACCATGCCCTGCAGCAACAGCATAGATGATAGATGATAGATAGATGATAGATAGATAGATTAGATAGATAGATAGATAGATAGATAGATAGATAGATGATAGATAGATAGATGATAGATAATCACTTTAAAGCAATAATAGTATTTTTAAGGATGAGCATACTCCTTTTAAGAAATAATTGCAGAAAGTGTGTAGTGTTTCCAAATACAGCATTTACTGTTGTGCTATCTTCACCACTTTCCCAGTTAACATCTTGCTTTAGTGTGGTATATGCCTGTGCTGTTTGAATGAAAATGTCTTCCATAGGTTTGTGATCACATTGTCCCCAGCTGATGGCACTGTTTGGGAGGTCATGGACTCTTTAGGAGGTGCAGTATTGATGGCGAAAGTATGCTGCTGGGGGTAGGGGGTGGGCTCTGACAGTTCATAGCCTTGCCACACTTCAGGTTCACTCTGTTTCACAGTTTTGGGTTCAAGATGGGAGCACTCAGCTTTCTGTTCCTGCTGCTGATGCCTGCCACTTGCTGCTGTGCCTCTCCATCAATGTATTCTATCCTTCTGGAACCATAGGCCAAAATAATCTTTTTATTCTATAAGTTGCCTTAAGTCATGGTGTTTTATCACAACAACAAAGTAACTAATACAATGCCAAAATCAGTGAATCAGTATTGGTACATCATCAGTGTTGTGATGGTTCTTGAGCCCAGGGCTTTGTATAGTGTAGGCAGACCCTCAGCTACTGAGCTGTAACCCCAACTGTGGTGTATCACTATTACCAAAGTTCATAATTTAGATTATGGTCCATTTTGTGTGTTAAAAAAGCCTATGAATTTTGACAAATATGTGTTTGCATATATCCACAATTACATTATAATACAAAATAATTTTCTTGCCCTTAAACATTCTTTGGCTTCAGAGCCATAGATATGACACTGTTACTCTTGTCCTCGAAAGTTCTGGTGATGGGGCTGGAGAGATGGCTCAGCTGTTAAAAGCACTGACTGCTCTTGCAGAAGACCTGGCTTCAGTAACCAGCACCTACATGGCAGCTAACAATCCACTGTAACTCCAGGTCTAGGGGATCAGATGCCCTCTTCTGGCCTCTACAGGTATTGTGCAACATGGTTGCACTTAATATCCATGCAGGCAAAATACTCATAATCATAAAGATAAATTTAAATTTTTTTAAGTTATAGAAAAAGTTTTGGGAATATAGTGGTGCTTTTCAGAGCCTTGATACTGGATGAGAAAAGAGGTGAAGTTCTAGATTCATGTCCTCATAAAAGCATGTATAATGGAAGAAAACAAGGTTTGACTTATAGTATTATGGACCCCGAGACTACTGAGGAAAGACCACCAGACTCAATTCACATTGGGATAAATATTTTATTCAAGCTAGCTTGGACTGCAGTCTCCATATCAGATTAGAATGCTGCAGTGGGGAGGGAGAGGGAAAGGGGACCTTTTAAAGCTAAAAACCGCAAAAAGGAATGTTGACAAGGTGGTCCCCGAATAACAGGGTAGAGGGTGATCACAGTCTACATGTCAAGGTGCCCTAAAATAGCAAAACAAGCAAGTTACAGAAGCCAGAATCAGCAGTTAGTCATATCATAATAACTTTGTTTTCTCTATGTCTAGAGAGCAAGTGACCGTGGCAGCATTCTCCAGGGAGGAAAAGGGAGACAGGAGTCAGGGTTTCTGAAAACAATCCTTGAGCTAGAAATACACTATGGCTAAGCTTCTAAGATGGCTGCTTTATCCAAAATGGGGTCAGTTTGGTCAGGACAATAGAAATGGATAGAGTATAGTACCTATGGGACTAGTATACTTATAGCAACCAAAGAATTGGAAAAATGAAATTTTAGAATTAACAATACATACTTCCCCATGCCTATTCTCAGGAGTGATTTCTCTTTTTTAATATTTTATTTATTATTTTTATTTTATGTGTATGAGTACCTGCATGTAGGTAAGTGCACCCGTGTTATGCAGTGCTCACAGAGGACAGAAGAGACTGTCAGATCCCCTGGAACTGAATTACAGGCAGTTGTTAGCTGCCATGTGGCCCTGGAACTGGAATTAAGGATGCTTCCTAGCCTCCACGTGAGTGCTGGGAATCGAACCCAGGTCTTCTGCAAGAGCAGTCAGTGCTCTTAACCGCTGAGCCATCTCTCCAGCCCCAATTTCTCTCTCAGAAACTATTTCTATCCTAGTGGCTAGAGAGAGAGGGGGCTCAGCAGTTAAGAGCACTGGCTGCTCTTGGAGAGGACCTGGGTTCAGTTCCTAGCACCTACATGGCTACTAAGATCCAGACTTAACTCCAGTTCCAGAGGATCAGATGTCCTCTTCTGGACTCATGGGCACCAGGCATGCACACAGGCAAAACACTCATACACATGATTTAAAAATCTTATA